GAAGCATCAGTTCAGGACGTATGGAAAGTCTTAACTTTTTTATTTTCTGGCCACCGGAAACTGCACAGAAGTTCAAGATGGAGAGAGAGAGCCGTGAAAAACCCTGTCCCATACAAACAAACTTCACTTTAGATGGAGAATAAAATAAAGAATTGGCCCTCTAATCTGCAGGGCTCTGCAAAATATGACAAAACGTGAACAGATTATAGGATTAATTGCAAAGGAAAATCTAAAAAAAACAAAAACAGCGAGGTATTAATGACAGTGCTGCTCCCAAAGGAGGCTGAACAGATAATAACATGTTTACCTTTCCCTCAGTGGCATACAGTAGCTATTATTTATTCTTTCCTCCCCTGATTGCGTCATGACACTAGAAGCCACATATATTTCCTTAAAAGGAAAGACCCTACACCCCCCCCCCTCCTTCTTCAGGAGGGATGAGGACTTTCATAGCAAGAGAATAAATGCATGACTACAAAGAGACTATGGATGCACTGATTCATACTGCACACAGACTGACACTGAAATTGAGAAACTCTCTCGGACAGAAGTGTTTAACAATAAATTTTAGGATTTACAAGTCTGAAAACAGGATGAAATGGTTGTGTGTTCATTGTGATTTACTTTATAATGATAAATATCCTTAATAAAAACTGTATGCTTCAAGTGATTTGGCAACATTAGTAAAGTTGTGACTGAGATTTGTTAAAAAAACAAAAAACATCTGGCTGCTGTTGCATATAATGACATGAAGATGCAAAGTGTCGCACCAAAATGCGTTACAATTAAAGTTTTTGGACACATTCCTGTCCATGTTAACTTTATTTTCATTTTTCAGTCCGAAATAACAAGAAAAAAAAAAACAAGAACTGCGTCTGATATAAGCTGTTACACAGTGAACTAGTTAACATACTGTAAATGCTCATTCATTCTTATACAGATCACATTTTATAGCTGAAGTAATCTCTTATAGCTCCTGCTGATATTAATCATCATAAATATAAAAGCCTTGGATAAAAATACATTCACTTACGCTGAAGGAATTACAGAAACAAAAAGCTGCCACTGGAATGAGACAACGAACAGGCCAGTTATCTTTATCGTTAGCAGGACTTGAGCCAGCATGTATTGGTATGATGTAAAAGTAGGTGGATGTGTGCAGAATTAACTTCTCTCTTTCTACCACCTCCACACGGAGGTCAGAGGTCATGGTCAGACACTGTAAAAAAGCACCCACGGGTCTTACAAGGAGTCTTGCTCAAGGACACTTTAGCATGGAGGATGTGCTTGCTGTCATGGGAACCGTCCTTCAACAAGACAGCTGCGTGGATGAAGTTGCAACACATCTTTTGTGTACAGTGATCAAACAGCAGCTCGACTGACAAAACCATAAAATATTCCCAGAACAGATACAGAAAGCAGTGAAATGATAATTTGGCATTAAATAACAACCACAACAACAAAGTACACAGTAACCAGAACAAAAATCACAAACCAACCATCACTACAAGATATGATGAACCAAACTCAATGAATGAAAATGATAATGTCTCTTGATTACAGAATGTGAGGCATCAGTGAACAACTGCAAAACCAGTCAGAATAAAAGCACAAATATGCTGTTATTGATAATGTTCAGTCACTCGTGTTGGTCAGGTGAGCCTGAAGATGTAGACACGCACTCCTTTGTGAGGCATACAGCAGGGATTAAACAGACCACACGGGGTTGTAGCATGTTTTAGCCCACAGAGTGCTGCACATGAGCGTTAGCATTCTCAGTACCCTCGTCTCGAAGTCAGTGAAGGGTGCGTAGCTTAGGAGACTTTCACGATTTGCTCTATGACATAAAACATGTCGGAAAATACCCCACGTGTGAATTTTTAAGACTGTCTGAAAAAAGAGTTAAGCTAACAAGTGGCTAAATAAGACTACAGAGCATCATCATGCCAAATATGGTTTTACAGCTGTTGTGGTGGTGATGTTGAAGTCATGCAATTATTTTGTAGTTCGTTTATAGCCTAACGTTTGCTTTGCGTTGAGGAAAAGAAAGGGCCATGCTAACATCTGTGTTGGCCTTGCAGCACTCCGTTAACTAAATCACACATACTTAACACTATTGCTGATTGTTTTCTAAAGCATGTTGCATTTAAGTTTTCTCAGTGTCTTTTACTACATTCCAGGCAACAACTGCTCAAAAATAAATGTTTATTCATGTACAGAGCAAGTTTTGTGTCGATTTTCATACTGCAATGAATGGGGAAAAGGGTTCCTCTAAGGTAGACACACTCAAAAATCTTTAACATCTAATCAAACCCTTAAAAACTGTTCAAAGCAATGTAAAGTCTGTTTGATTTGTACCAAAGGAGCTAAAACTCCGGTATAGTCCTTTAAGTGTGCTGCGCTACACAGAACAAGCCCATTAAAAGTGCAAGTAAAATCTTGCAAAGTAATCCATCATCTGAAAATCATATTCAAGTTATATCATGCCATTCACTAAGCAGTAATCCCCTTGATTAAATCCTCCTCCCACAATTTGTGCACATCAAGTACATTATACAATGTTTTTTCATAGTGCTAATGGTGCCTTATAATGCTTTATGGGCTCCACTTCAAGACAGTGTAACCTTCAGGTCCAGTAAATATTGTTATAAATACATGTGTCAATAGTAAGACTAAGGAAGACAGAAATGTGTCACAGTTGACGTTCATTGGTAAGAGAATAATGGAACTATTGCACTGCAGAATCAAATCAATGTTCATGTCAAATGTTTTGGTTTAATCTCTACCTCACACTTCCTCATTCTCTTCTGATACGTCCCTTGGTCCCTTCTATTGTGTGCCCCTAATTTAGTAAATGCCCCAGTTATGCCACTATTTCAAATGTACAGCATCACAGCTTAGTACAGGTTTTCACAGAAAAGGTCCAGTAACATCACAGCACTGTGCTTCTATTGTTTTTGTCAGGTCGGTTGATCATCACATGTCTATCTGATCCCAGACCAGCTGTGGAGATAGGATGTCCAGCCTGAGCCGCGAGACCCAGACCCCTCGTCCCCACCTGCACAAAGGAGATCGAAGAACACTTGGTTAGAAACCATGGAGACAACAGTATGTATTATTGTGGGAATAGCACAAGAGGTGTGTGTGTAAAGTCATGATTAACAGATCATTTCTGGAGAATCTGGATCTGTTTACAAAACCTGTCCACCCAGCACATACCTTGTGCGATGGCAGCCAGTTTGCTTTTCTCCTCCGGACTGAGCTGCAGCATTGTGTGAATGACAGGCAGAAGCGCCTGCCTCTCACTGCCAGACTGCAGGAAGATGAACTGAAGCAGGACGTTCTTCAGGTACTCCAGGTTGGCCACGCTCTTCTCCCTCTCGTGGTTTCGCTCGAGACGACGGACCTCACTCTTCAACAACTAGCAGGTAGAACACATCGGCAACTTTAAATAATGAAACCCAAATCTTTGGCAAATTCCCTGCATTTAACATTGTTAGCTTCCAAGTTCACAATAGAAATAGACGGTTAATCTATGGTTTGCACTATTGGAAGTGAATCAGGGAACAATTGCTGAACATATAATGAATCACAGTTTAAACCTATTCAATCTAACCACTGAGTAGACTGCAGAAAGCCCCAAATATGAAGAGCCCAACTGCACCATTGTGTTGTAATAAAGATCGCGGCTCATGTACATCTTTCTGGAGAGGAAAACAAATTCAAAATCCAGGTACAATAGTATTTTCCCGTGATGCAACACTATAGGGACACCGACTAAATGGAAGTGTTATTCATGAATTATTATTCTCTTGGGACCAAAACTGTTTTAAATGCCAATAAAACATTTGCTGTATTAATGTTACTGTTGTTATCTTTGATAAAATAGCCACTATTGAAGGAAAAAAGAAAAAAATCAATAAAACAGGTTATTTCAAACTTTTGAACCAAATAATTCACAGTGCGTATATTATTTGGTCAATAGGTAAGCAACAGATATCTGGCATGGTAGATGCAAAGAATGCCATGACAAGGAGAACGCATAAACTGACCATCATTTTAAAGGGACACAAGGTCAGTTCAAGGTCAAGGACACGCCCTAAACTAAGAAAATTTTGGAAAGAGGTCTTTTGTTCCATCAAAATCTCATAAAAAACCCAAAGGCGGAGGGTACCGATGAAGGGGCTAAAGGTATCTTTTACAGATATTGCTAGTTAAATGCATTAAATTTAAGTGTATAAAACATGACCCCCCCCCCCCCAAACATATAACATATGGACTCAGAGGGTTTGGGAATTCTACCAGATGTAGCCTAATAAATAACATACTCTTTGAGACTCCAAAAATATATATTCATTAAGAGGTGGAGCCCTGCCATGGCTATGTTAATACAGTAAAGTGAACTAGTTTCTCCAACACATTCTAATTGGAAATGTGGCGTTGTCTTCCCAGCTCATCCTGTCTCCTTATGCATACGCTTACTTATACCACTACACAGATTTACACACAACTCCCTTTCCTGACCCTTCTCCTCCATCCATAGTTTTCCCCCCTGATTTGCACCCCTGTTCTTCAAACTAATGCATTTTATTATCATTATTATTGTTATTATTATTGTTATTTATTACCTTTGTTTCAATTTCATTCCATAATTATGAAATCATCCATGGGCTATGTGGATGCAGAGGAAAAATGTTTTTAAACTATGGGCAAATTTATGAATATGACTGTATAAGTTGTTGAAAATAAAATAAAAACTAACATTAATAAAAAAGAAAGAAATGGTTTCACTTCAAACCTATCTTCAGACATATTAATACCTGGTTAAATAGACACAACTGAAAATATGTCAAATGTATTTTCCAACAACAGTATTAAAATTATTTCTTATTTCATTAGTGTTAGTCATAAAAACATAAAGACAATTCACAAATAGAGTTTGTGGTTTTACAGATGCAGTACTACGAGCTGATTTTAAGTTTGGTCAGCGGTACTTCCCGTAACCTGACACCTTACGTCACACATAACAAAGATGGCGGCGCCCTCTAAGCTACAGCTCGCTAGTGTGTCGGGAAATACGCTGTGAAACGCGAGTTGTTGTAACGTTTACACGACGTTAACTGTTTTAATTCAATGTTGAAATAGGTGTTGGAGGATTAAAGCTATTTGTCGTGGTTAAAATGGGTCTGGAGCGGCTGCTCTGCGGGACGGTGGGGTGTTACTCCAGACAGTTTCGACTCTTTAACATTCAGCAACGAGTCTTTCAGTGTAACGTTATGTCGATGTCCACACAGGCATCACCGAGCACTTCCAACATGGTTAACCGGGTTACATATATAGCAGGTCTGTGCAGCAAGATATTCCTCCACACAGGCCGCCTCGGAGCGGCTCACAGGCAGCTGGCTGCCCGCCGCAGCCTCTGCACCTCCGCTCAGCCCTCCAGAGACGTCACCCTCTTCCAGCACGACAGGACCCGCTTCTTCCGGCTCCTCACGGTCTTCTGCGGCGGACAGGTGCTCTTCTGGACATACATGGGCCACTTCGCTTACACCGGACTCAGAGACACAGGGGGCGCCACAGAGAAGGGGACAGCCAAGACGTCCACCACCACCGGGCTGGCTGGGATGTGGAGTTTTGAGATGAACCTGGGCTCAAACACCTGGAGGTACAGCTTCACGCTGGGGTGTCTGGCCATCGGTGCGGGGATTGTCGGACTCGGGGTCCTGTTTTGCCGGCGCTCTGTCAGCCAGGTGGTTTTACATCAAGGTGGGAGGATGGTGACAATTTCCACTCAGTCACCTTTGGGTCCAGACCGAGGCCGGAGCATAACAGTCCCACTGTCCCAGGTAGCCTGTCATGCTCACAGACATGAGTCCCCCTCATTCATCCCTCTCAAGGTCAAAGGACATAAGTTCTACTTTCTCCTGGACAAAGAGGGGACTGTGAACAACGCCAGGCTCTTTGATATCACTGTTGGGGCTTATCGGCCAGTTTAAGTTGTGTTTATTACACTTTTGTGTAATAAAAACTGTGTTGGACAATAAACACCAAAGAACAGGTCCACAGATGTGATTTTACACGGCTGCCAAACAAATATGCCTGTTTCTCTTTGATTGCCTCTCTTCAATGAAATAAAATCTATGAGATCAAATATGGACTAAGTGAGGTTAATTTAGAGAAGGGTGTTATATTTATGAGACACATTTAAAAGCATTTCATACTTAAAATCACTTAGAATTAACTATGAATGTCTGAAATTTATGTTGTTGTTTGTACAAGTGACAAGAAACAGTTTGAATGAATAGGCTGTGAAGAGTGAAATTAAACTCATTAATATGTTGTTTTCTGGGTGTGTGCATATACATACAGTGATCTGCTCCATGAGAACAGCGTTGGTGGCCTCGGTTTCATGCAGGAGGCTGTTCATGTGCTCCATACTGCGGGTGGCTGTGCTCAGCTTTTGACTCAGCTCCTCTTTGGTGGGCTCCACCGTCCACACGAATGGCTCTAGAGACCAAACCAGGCACACCCAAGTTAAAAATCTTTTTTTTTGAGAGAGTCAGGGGCATAGTGGATGATTTGCCGTGGTGTGAACTTCAAGTAATCATGTTTTTTACTTGTTACATATCATGAAAGATCATGTTTGAGTTACAGTCAAAAAGAAATGGAAACTTTGAGAAATGTGGTAGGTTGCTTTTTGGGGGAAGAGACTGAATATGTAACTTTTGAGATCAGTGAAATACCGTACATGCTGCTTTTGTAAACTTATTAATTGCAACAAGCTGCACTTCCTGTATCAAACACACCTTGTTTGGGGTCCGGGGACGTCAGAAGCTGCTCCAGTGAGGGCAGAGACGTAAGACCTGGAGAAGGGCTCTCCGTCTCAGTGGTCTCCATGCCCTCGCCCTCCTCCCTGGCCATAGACTGCAGGTCGCTGAGGGCCATTAGGTTCAGCCCTGCCTGGTTCTGATCTGTGCTTCTGCGATGGGGGTCTGACGACAGGGGCTTACGGACAGACTGGACCGCCACTGAACCTGTAAGACGGTAAAAGTTGGTACAAGAACATATTTTTGTTATTCATGGTTAAACAGATGAATACGAGCATATGAAAAAGTAGAGTGAGGTGAACAACAGAAAACACCACAGATAATTCATTGCCAAAAATAAACTTTTTTCCTTACATTAAAAAAAAAACATTCTTTTGCACCCTGATGTCACCTAATTTGACAGAGGCAAGAACTCAATAACTAAGGGCTATAAAATACTATATATATATGTCTTGAGTAGAGAGTATTGGATTTGGATGTCTATTGATTATGACCAATCCCTTAACGCACTGCACAGAATTCACACAATTTCACAGCGTCCTACTTCATTGTGACATGAGGGGGCACCAGACACTCTGGCATTAACCAGTTCAGCTGGCATGAACAATGACAACAAGTGTGCAGAGAAGGGTGAGAGGGAAGGGTGCAGTGCTTCAGAGAGTGGGTGGACAAAAAGAGAAGATTATGATTAATGGACCTGAGACTGAACCAAAAGACCAGACTAAACCAATCCCCCCAGCTTCCCACCTCCAGTCTGCTACTCTGCCTCCTCTTTCCCTCTGCGGCTAAGTGAGGAGAGCAAGACACCGAGGTCCTTTCTTGTGTGTAAATGCATTAGAGTTTGACCAGGTTTTGTACTCTGATCAGGGTTCAGAAAATCTCACAGTTAAGCTGATGGTTTCCTGATGGCTCGCTGCCAGAAGAACGCCTAGCCAGAACAGTAAACTTAAAAGCTCACTGCAAAAAAAAACAAACATCTTTACCATATAATGCTGCGTCTGCGTAATACTGCTACTTCTTCTCTTTACTCTTGACACAACACTCCTTGTTAAAGAGCGCTTTAGGATGTGCACAGCTCTAATCAATCAAATCTGTTACAAGCAGACTCAAGATAAATGAAGCTGTAGTGGTAAAAAAATAAGCTATGAGGGGGGAAAAGGACACCAATTCATAGTAGAATGAATTCTCTTGATCACAAATGAATACTGTGCAAAGTCCCTGCAAAACTACAACAAGAAAGAGCAGAGAGAAGCTGCTGCCTCGACCGGTTTCTAACTTGTCAAAGTATCTCTCTAGAATTAGTATTTGTGTTTATGTACTGTCTAATTGTTTAGATTGAAGAGTAAATGGGACAGAACACGATAACGAACATAGATCAATTTTACTGTTTGTTACAGTTGATTCATAAAAAAATATACGAGGCCAGTAAAAACTGTCCAGGGGCCAGCAGCTTTATGACCCACCTGCCCACTAGGGCCAGTAAAACACACTGATTTTGAGCCCTTCTGCATTTTTAAAGCTAATAAATCAAAATACTGTAGTAAAAAGGCTGAAATCTGACTTCCAGTAACGGCTAACATCGGCCCTGTATATCGGGCTAATTCTGGCGTCCATGTGCGAGCCGCTAATGATGAGTCTCTCCAGATGCCACAGTGAGCTGTTTGCCACACTGAGAGGCGGGAACGGAGCTGAGGAGTCTCGCCAACACCTGGCCAGGCTGGAGTGACAGAGAAGGAACACACACACACACACACAAACACACACTTTCCTTTCTGAGGCATTACTACGTGTGTATTTGCTGTTTGACTCCAGAGGGCAGCTGTGTGGGAGGTGATGAATGAGCCTGCAGTGCTGTTCTACTGATAAACACACCAGCATGCCCCTTCCTCTGTTCCCTCTCCCATCATTCCTCTCTCAGAGAAGCAGAGTAAACAAGACGGAGAACTTCAGCACTCTTAGCACTTGATGCTTTGATGGATCTCTTTATAGGATACCATTCATGCACCCCTTGAGCTTCCTGCTGTCTGTTCGAGCAGCAGCCACTTTCTGAATCACTCAGCTGCTTTTTAATATCATAGATACGCTTGTTACCTCACAGTTTCCACTGCTACTTTATGTACAGGATCAGTGTCGGATTCATTTAAACAGATCAAAATTTTATTTCCCTCCATGCTTACTGTTCTGGCTCTGCAGGCTGAAGAGTTGCTCCTCGACGCGAGTCAGCTGGCCCTGCAGGGTCTCCACAGTGGCCCGGTGGTCGTCCTGCAGCTTCCTCAGCTGCTCCCTGTAGGTCTGGCGCTGAGCCTCGGTCTGGGAGGACAGATCATTCTGAGCCTGGGACAGATCTGACCTCAGAGCCACGTTCTCTGACTGCACTGACAGCACCCTGGAGGTGGAGACAAAGTGACAGGGAATTAAAATAGACTGCTCATTTAGTACAGAATCGGTAAGAATGGCATACAGCAGGAAAGTACTCTAGGGGGCATACAGGGAGAGTGAGAACAAAAAACAAATCTTTGGAGTAAAGCCGGCTCACCTCTCACGGAGCTCGGCCTCCTTGCTGATGGTTTCCTGGAGGATTTTGTTGTGTCTCTCCAGCAGAGTGTCGTGTTCAGTCTGGAGCTGCTGCAGCTCTGCCGTGCTGCTCTGGAGGCTCTGCTGGCTCTCTGCCAGCCTGGACCTCAGCTGTTCTACCTGAGAGGACAAGTGCTCCCTGCCAGACACAACACACAATCATTATATTCACATCACTGACTGACAGCATTGACTGACACATACTACGAATTAGTCTTTATTTTAATATGGTCCATTGAGTAGCAGCCTTTGCACGCAACCCAGTCACCAGAAAAAAAGTTGGCATTGTGTGTTTCTGCAAACCACAGATATGTAACATTTGTAGGTTTCATAGGTAGCAGATATGTTGAAACTTAAAGCCTCAATTTTTGGTTTTATATTGTGACAACCAGGGCTGGGCATTGTTTAAAAGAACTACAATACCAGTACCAATACCACTACTTTAAAGTGATACCGATACCAATAGAGTACATTTGATACCTTTTTAATACTTCATTCAGTATCCATCATGTAAAAGGAAACACTCATTTGTGTAAAATGCCACCCGACACCACAGGCATGTAGTATAGCCATACTTTTGAGCACTTAAGTGCCATCATGCCACACTGAACTGCCTGCCAAATACACTGCACTCAACCTCTCCACACATAAGACTGTATGGGTTGTTGCTGCAGGTGTTCAACAGCAATCCCACGTCACATTAAATTGAAGAACACCTGTGGTGACTGGCTGTGAGCAAAACCAGACAACTAGTCTCTTTATTGTCTAGATCCCAGCATTAAAAGGATCAAATGCACACATTGTTTGGCTGGAGAAGCTTCCAAGCAACTTGGTACAGGGTTATTTGGGTCCCTAGCCCTCATGACAACACTGAGGTTAACATGTGGTTAGTTTTAAGCACAAAAACTTGGTTAATGTTAGGAAAACATCATGTTTTGGCTTAAAATACCCACCTTTGTCGCAACAAACACTACTGAAAATGTTCGAACATGTTTCCCTGTTGTTTCTTAGTCTTAAAAAGTCATCTGCTGCTCTCGACCTCCCGGCAGCCATCTTGCTGAGATCTCACATCACCCCTTCCAACTCCTCCTGATGTGAAACTCAGCCCATATACATGTAATATGAACTACGTCACTTTAGAAATGTTGATTTGTTTGAAATGTCCAAATGTAACATAACAACAACTCTCTATGTAACATATTTTATTCTGGCGACAAATTCTTTCTCGTGTGTTATGTCCTGTATTTGTCTGTATCTTAGTGAAAGAGCAAGCAGTGGTATCAGACCTGATCCCAGCATGGATACTGCAACTGATTTTAGTTTATGTTAAACAATGTGCTTTAGTTGTAGAGTAATTTCTTTGTTTTGGTTAAAAACATTTCCTGTATAGTTCAAAAGTATTTCTTATCATGTAGCTACTAAGCCAACCTGCATTTAGGTACTTTCCTGGCTGTGTATCTGTCTGCTTGTTTTAATGTTTATTCAGTCTCAGGATGCAGTTCACCATTACACTTTGCGGTTGCCTCCCTGCATCTGTCTGTGTCATGCGTATTTGTCGTACAGGCGTTGTCCTTACCTCTCTAACTTGCCAGAGTCTCCTTCAGTCTGGGCAGTGGTTTTATTCTTCTGCTGTTTGAGCACGTTGTGGACTCGCACCTTGTAACTCTCAAACTCGCTGGCTGTTGCCGTGAGCTCAGCCTGGAATCAGCACAAAGATTAAGCAGAGATATACGGTGAATAACACAATATA